TAAACTCATGAGGAAAGTATTTAAAAAGGCCACAAATCGATACTTTATGTTGTGAACTTCTTTTTTTGTTTCTTCGATCCTGCTGGAAGTTAGAAAGATCGCAGTGTTGAATCTCTTCCTCATAGCATCTGTGGCTGTGGTTGTCTTTTATATACGGTTTATGACACTAACAAGACTGCTGTGTTCTTTCCTTTGACTCTGCCGAGGGAGGGGCGGGGGTCACCACGGGTGAGCAGAAAGAAAAAGAGACCTAGACCTCTGCACTTCTTTGAGAGCTTTAAAACATTAACACTCACGCAGTTCGTAAATGCTCTGACTGTTTTCCCACATTACTCACCGGTTCTGTTGGAGATGGGTCCAGATTAAAAAATGAAAGAAAAACAGCAAAGACTGCGCCTTGTGTGTGTGTGTGTGCGCGTGTGCGTGCGTACACTCTCCAGGGAGTATTACAGGCTGCAGCAGTTTGCAGTAATAGGAAATGCGCTGTGAGCTTGAACTTGCTCCCTCGATGAAGTTGATTCACAGAAATCAGGCCTGTTACGTTGTTGCTCAACCAGTCAGACATCTGCTGAATGTTTTTTCTTCTTCTGTTTTTTTTCCCCTCCACAGACACACATGGTTCCTCAAAGATGCTCCTAGTCAGGCTCTCATTCATATTCACACAATAAATTCTTCTCAATGAGTCACTCTCTGCGCGAATGTTCACCAACACACACACCCAGAGTGAGAGTGACTGATAGCATTAGTTGTTGCACATCCGGTGCATTTGTAAATTAGTCTGCAGCTGCAGTTAATCTGCCTGTTGCTTTCTTGATTAACTGCATGCCGTGTTAAATGATTAAAAAAAAAACAACGTATAAATGTCTCTCTTCTTCTTTTTTGGAGCTGCAGATGCTCAGACTCTAGTGCAAAGCTCAAATATAATCTCTTTTTAGATAATTTTAAGTAGAAAGAAGCTGACAAAATGATAAAGAGATATTTTATTCTTCCTTTGATGAGCTGATGATATTCGAGCCACCGATTTATCACGCATCCCTGCTTCGGCACGATGCATGAGGTGGCGTAAAAGAGGCTGAGGTTGAGTCAAACAGAAAAACAAACAGAAATGTGGCACATAGATCAGATTTCAGATAGATCAAAGAAGGGGTATCGGAGGGGTCACATGTAGGTACGCACTCCCAGATAATCATCACCTGAATCCTCTGAGCTTTACAGTAAGTTTCACCTCATTGCTTGGCTGCCCAGGCTCAAGCTTTACTGTTGTGGTTCATTATCGAGGTGAGCTCTACAAATCCCCCTGCTCAGTGCTCAGCACCGAGACAGTCAGCGACTCACCGATCCACACTGAAGTATTTAGCAGATATTTCCCTCGGGAGTTGGTAGAGACCAAAAGCAGAGCTAAGACAGAGTGAATATTGAATTCAGCAAGACTTGAAATGAGCCATGATGTTGGCTCTGTGGCTGCCAGATGTGTTGGTAGCAACTGACCTATAAGGTGATGTTTAAAACTTGTGTTCACTGCCCCCAAGTGGCCAAAGAAAAGCAGGATTATTCAGTGCACAGTTTTGTCACTTCTTATTTCTAAATTAATAATCCATTTTTTAAACTTTGATTGATATTAGCTTTCAAACTCAGCTTCCAATTTGTTATCAGACAACATGATTATTTTCATACGAATCTTGTAAAAAAAAATCATTTTTTTGCATTGTTGTTTTTCTCTTAGACTGTATATTTATGTCATCTTTCTGGCTTTATCTCAATCTTTCTACAGGGGAAATTATTAGAAAGCCTGAAACTTGTAACGCTGATGTAAATTTCTGTGAACATACTCGACTGAAATACAGCTGCGGCAGCAATTTGTTGCGAGCTCCCTTTAATCGGTTCCTCTTGCACTGACTCAGGTTCTCTAAATGAGTCACATCCTTGACCTGTCTGCGTCATTGTGCTTTTTAGTGATAATATTAGACACTGTGGTCGAAACTCATAGCATTAAGGGTTGTGAGGGAGAAAGGTAACTATTCTTTTGATGAGTGCGCTCCTGTGTTGTTTTATGCGTGTGCAAAAGATTAACATATGCATTCCTCGGGCTCATGCACTGTCACATGCGCTCAAACTCATGCGGTGCACAAAGCAGTGGAATTTGTCCTCCCTGCACTTTCTTTTGCCCTCCGTTCCTCCCTCTTACCCACCCGATGCCGTGTCTTTTACTGTCTCGTCTGTTTCCTTTCGCTGCTTCTGCTCTCTCACGGTGCTGATTTAGTTAGCTTCCATTATTGTGCAAGTCTGTTTAATTACACAGTTTCACTTCGCGGGCAATTTGATGCTCTTCGTCTGGCTGGTGATGTGCTTTTCACAGGAACTGAACAGATCATGTGAAGAAATGCTTCACAGCATGGACTACACCGGAGTTCACTTAGTTGTGACACATTTATTAAGGCACTTGCAGCACTAACTGCTGCACTTCGGAGATCCACTTCGTCTTGCAGTTCGACAGCATGGCTGACAAAGAAAACAAGCAGATACAAATCACCATTTCTGGTCAAAACTTTAAGACAAAAAGCTGAATTTAATGCACAGATGCAGACAGTCATGCAGTCTGGAAACCCACAGGCCAACTTCTCGCATTGGCTATGAACACAGATTAATTTGATAAAGATAAATTGATGTCAGTGCTTTTGAGATTACATTTCTGCGTGTGCACTATTTACCTTCATGCAACCAATGCTCCCTTAAATATGTTTGCTTAGTATTTAAATGCACTGGCATTTATATAGCAGTATTTACCACTCAAAGCACCTGCAAGCCACATTTAGCCATTCAGTGCTTTCTTTTGTACACTTCACACACCATATCTAGTTCTCATACCTGAAAAATTTGGAATCATCAGTAAAGCCAACATGTATGTCTTCTGAGCCGAAGGCCGAAGGAGAACATGCAAACTCCACACAGAAATATAACTTGGATCGTTGCAGAAATCTTGTCCCTTACATGAGACAGATTCAACAATTTAGGATTTGCGTTTTGAAACGTTTGTCAAACACAGCTGGGTGTGACAGATGTTAGCTTGGACTGAGGGGAGTTTGCGGGCCACATTTTTTAATACGGTAATTGTCAGATAAATTGATAAGGTAAAGAGTCACGAGTTGTCGCTATAGCTTGTGATTACGTTCACTCTTAAATTTTGCTCTTTATCTCCAATTTTGGATTATTGTGAAAATAATCAGAAGTTCAATCCAGAACTTTGCTTTTCTCATATTCTGTTCTGTATGACCAAGTTTGCACTCGCACACATGCAGTAACAGAAACTAGTGATGAGAGCCGTGTTCTTCTTCATGACGCCTGACTACTAAATGTCAAGGTTTGACAGGATTTGACATTTCCAGTTGTCAAACATGAAAATACTGTATGCAGCTGACACGGTGTAGTTTTTAAACTTTTCATAGTAGCTGCTGATGTTCTTGTCTACATGTGTTTCTCTCAGTTGTCACTCAGCCTTCGTTTCAGCAGTGACTTCTGTCCCAGACATGCCGCGGGCACTTTACACATGGCTGACTGAGTCATTCGTCCATGCATGTGTGTTTGTTTATGCCGTTGGCTCTGTTACCATTCGTTTGGATGTAGGGGTTCGGAGGCTCTTCAGAGCTGTTTTAGTGGATTTTTTGTGTGTGTATCTGTTCAGCATTCTTTAAAAATAAATTTTTTCCCCCAAAAATGTGTCTTCGTGGATTGTTTTAAAAAATAAAAACTAAAGCGAGGTCCAGTGCAAACTGCTCCAGGTAAAGTATGTCACAAGTCAGCAACAGCTGTGTGGAGTCATATGAAAGCAGCCTGGGATGGAGTATTTTTGCTTTCAAGATCCTTTCGCATCATCATCCTTTTGTCCAGCTGGCTTCAGGTTCACCTGACTGGGAGGGGATTTTGAGAAGTTTAAAATATGTGTATTTTTTAATAATAATAATAATACATTTTATTTGAGGGCGCCTTTCAGAAACCCAAGGTCACCTTACAAAAAACACAATTAATAAAAGGAACAGTAGTCATAAAATAAGTTACAATTTTAGTATATTGAAGCCTGGATCCTTTCTGGTTTTGTTGGTGGTTAATAAACTCGCAATGTCATAAGTTCATGCTGAGGGCCTCGGGTCAAACAGCCACCAGAAAGCCCCTCATATCTCATTTAGGTTTCTTCAAACACAGCCAGCCTTCAAGCCCCGCTGCGGGAGCTTGCGTCACGCTCGTTTGTGTCCCGTGGTATTTTTAGCCTAATTGGTCAACATTAAAATAAATCTACAGAGGTGATCGCACAAGTGCAAACTGCCTCTAATCAAAATAGAAAAAGGCCCCAGTGCACAAACGAGTCCTTACTTGGCAGCCTTCTTAAATGTTACCCATGACAGCCAGATTGAGCTGAGTAGTACACAGTGTTGCATGACATCCTTTTTTGGGGGGCAATTTCCTGTTTGGAACAGTCTCTACTTCTCAGAAAAGGAAAACCAAATGAGTAACAAATCTACACAGACCATGAAAGTTTGACCACTGCACGCTTTAAGCTAAGTTAAAGAAGACGTTTGCGTGGAAAAAATGTTTTCATTTTGTTTAAAAGACGATGGGCTGATTGTGTTTTTCTTATAATACTTGAGTGTTGAAATGTGATGTAAGTCACCGACACATCATCTGCTATGCAAAAACAATGGAGATGAAAGGATTTTCTTTGAAAAACCAGGCTTCCTCGTACACTACCTGCAGCAACCCTGACCTGTTTCTTTCAAAGAATTTGGCACATGCTCATATCTGATGACTCATTTTGCACTTTTGATACTTGCACAAGCCCATTTAAAAATGTGTTAAAGATTATCAGGCCAGCTTATGAGGAAGGTTGACGGCGTGCATACAATTGTGAAACCCTTTTTTTTTTCTCCGTTTCTTTCCCTTTTATGTGTTCATCAGAGGAATTACTCTCATGTATCAGATGCTAATTATGTACTCACTGTGTGTTTCAGGCCTCCAGTCCCAAGCTGACGACTCACTGCTCAGATATCCAAGAGGTCCGGCGTTGCAACCGGCTGGAGATGCCTGACAACTTTAACACGTTTGTTCTAAAGGTTTGTACACGATTACAGCTAAATGGAAAAATGATGCTTCCTAAGAGAAGCTGTAGTTTGGGACTCTGACCGCTGAGTTGTTTATATCCACATTGCTTAGATCTTCACCGTTCAGCCAGAACAGGATAAACACTGTCATTTCAAAACTCACAAAGTGGACTGACAAAGTAGACGTTGCTGGTTTGAAGTGAAACGATATTCCACCATAAAGTCTCTTTTTTTTACCCACCAGCTGCTCAGCTCTCCATCAAACATAAACCCACTCAAACAGACAGCGGTGTTGCTGCACTCCAGCCGTTTTTTTTTTTTTATATATATCTGCAGCGATATTTGAATGGCATTTTGTTTGTTTATCGAGCACATTTGTGCACAGCAGAGGATTACAGCCTTTGTTCACAGCGAAGAAGCAAACTACAAAGTTTTCACAGCCACAGGAGCGAGTATTTGATAGCGGTTTTGCACATCAGTGGTGAAAAGTGTTAACTTTCACTGTTGTCTTCTTTTTTAGTAAATTTAACAAAAAGCTCACATGCCTTTGTTTTTTATTTCAAAAGTTCTGCTTCACCCAGAGGCTCTTGATATTGATAGTATCTCTCCTTACCAAGGAAATGCTTTCCTGTAGCAGGTGCAGGCAGCTTTTCTTTGTTTTTAATTGGAGCACAGTAAGCACACCTTCCCTCGAGCTATTTGCCTTTTTAACGGTAAACCTTTTGAAATTTAACAGAACATTTTGTTATGAGGGTTTTTTTTCTTCTTTGTACTTATTAAATTGCGGTGGTTACATTAGTATGCAGTGTTTTATTGCCCTGTGCATTCCTTCCTGTTACACTATTAATTCTGTTGTAGTGAAAATAAACGAAAAAGCTCTAAGTAAGTGCAGAGGTTCAGGGCATTTTATGCATTTGCATCATGTCCATTTTGTGTAGCCTGGTTTTTTTTAAGCATCTTTATCTCTGCAGGTTAATCGAGGTAGCCTGATATTTGAGACGGACAACGAGCAGCAGGTCAGCTCCTGGACCACAGAGCTAAAAGAGTGCATCAGCAGCAGGTGAGAGATGTGTAAACACAAAACAAGGACAGATGTTTGTGTGATCTGCCTTACACGTGTCTCATGTCTTTACCCGTTCTTTGTTTTTATGAGTGTAAATTGACTGAAGATCGAATCAAAAACTAAATATCACACAAGAGACTCAAAGTATATTCAGTCAAGCTCTGTAACGTCACAGAGGAGTAGCGACAGGTCTGCAACCCCCTGGTAACCTAGAGAAAACTTTGTTTATGGTTTAAAGTGTAGAAGATTACATTTATCAATCACATTAGTTATATAGTGCAGAACGAGCATTTTTATTCTCAGCTTGCTGTGGGTACTTCCTTGCTGTACTTTCACTTCTGAGTGGAAAGTGGAGACACACTGACATGCCAGCTTTGGCCAATCTCAGCTTTGTTGACTGATATCAGTACATTGGTAGTGTTAGGTAGCATTTTTAAAATGATATTTTTAAAAAGTCAAAAAATCTTACCTGCCAAATTGTTATTTTAAACACGAGCGTCAGCCCAGAAATTCACATCGCGAGAGGAAATATTTAACACTTGGCTGTTTTTAGTGTTTGTGGGTGTGTTGGATGTTTACTTGTCCTGAGGTATGTGTTTGCAAAAGGAAGTGAGAATAAATGTTGATGTATGTGCATATGTAGACAAACAGGTGTGTGTGTGTGCGGCCTCGAGCGTATTTATCTTTTCTTGAAATGCACAGTTTGTATTCGCTCTGGTTTGTCCGTACAGCTTTGTGCTGGTTTCAACTTTACTGCATTTGAAGTATTCCTCCTAACTGATCAGTCAACAGCACCATTAGTCAACTTAGTGCTCGCTGCACACCTTTGAGAGGTAACGTATGATGTTTAGAGGGAACGTGTAGCAGTAAATGTAGCTTTTCAAAGGTTAAAGTAGGAGACGGCTTTAAGAGGCCCCGTTATTAAGATCTTTCATGTGGTGCTTCATTTCCTATCAGTTCTCTACTTTGCACAGAAAGAATGAAGAAATTTCTTTGAATTTTGAAGAAATGGGAAAAGTAAGAAGAGTAGAAGTCATGCAAGAAGACAGAATTATCAGTCATCTTCTAAAAGGAGATGCAGACCGCACTGTTGAAGCTACTTCTGTTAAGCAGTAATCAGTGCAAACTGTACTCACAGGAATACCCAATCCTGGAATAAAACTTAGTGGTACACAGGTTTTCTGTTTCTTGTTATAAAGACAATCTCTGTCTATTTGTGTGTGTCAGTGTGCGTTTCTCTGAAAGGAAGTGTGGGGGAGGTCTGAGAATCTCGGGGCATTTCTCATTTCTGCAGATATCTGGAAGTGCACACACTCTAAAAACAAACAAACAATGAACTTAGAAAAAGAACTGCCGTTAAATTTGAATAAATGTCTTAAAGTAAGTACATGTTAGATTCTTCAAGGCTTTGTTTAGAGCCGCAGCTGGCCTGCATGTTGCATTAATTGAATGGAAGCAGCCCACAAATGCGTTGGAGCTGGAAGATGTTCAGATGAAAGAAGGGCTTTATGGAAACTATCATATGATTCTGGATCAACTTTTGCTGCAGTGTTGCGTTAAAAATAAAATAAAGGACGTACAGAAATAACAGTCCAGTGTTGTAAAATCAAGTGTGTAATACTTTGCATCTGATAATCCTTCGAATGCATTATCTGGACCTTTGAAAACAGCTTGTTTTTGTCTAAATTCTCACTAATATCATCTAAAAGCTGGTTTCGTTTTTGTAACTTCACCAAGCAACACTTGGATCATCGTGACTCTGCAGTGCTGTTCAGACACGCCTCAAATGTAAATATTAATTTTTACAATTACACTTGAGCTTTACTTTCACGGTCCAGATACCAAATCTAACAAAGCATTGTTTCTTATGTGAAGCAGAGTCATTCCTAATCCTATTAACAGCATCCATACTTTTCCTATCAGTACAACTCACAATGTCTACTGTGGAAAAGGCTTGTTGTCCAAAAGTCCGTGGTTTTATTTATGCGATTCATCATGCAGAGACTACAGAGGACCTCAAAAGGCACACAACACTTGGTGAGACATCAGGGAAGCAGTGTGAGGGAAATAAACTCGCATTTTTCTTCAGATGTGGTCAGATGTGGTAGGTGTAGCGTGCTTTAAGTGTGCTGAGGGCTAAATTTTATTCCTTGAAGATTTGCTGACTGCGTGAAATGATGTCCATACTCAGGGAAAAAATGATTGTCACAAAGATAGAAGAACAAGAATGGACACACACACATACACAGTGAGAAGTAAAGTCTTCCTGTTATTCATTGCTCTGCAAACTCAAGTCAGCATTTAAGCAGGATTTTACTCCAACTTCCTTCTTTAACCTTCCCGTTCTCATCTGTCGGGAAGCGGCACACACAAGCGGCCCAGATATACCGCTTGTGTGTGCGTGTATGAGAGAGAGAGAGAGCAGTGAAACAGAAGAAATGTAAGTTCAGATCTCAACTGGACTCACTTCCCGTCTGTGGCTTTGTTTGCCTTCAGCCTGCAGACTCACCTCACCAGCACATCCTTGTGAGGACCCTCAGTAGTGTAATGCATTTCCTAGCCTGCTGGTAAGTCTGTAGGCTGGTAAGTCTGTAGGCAATGTTTGGCCTTCTGTCAAAAATATTAGGCCCCACTTTTTCATTATTTTATTTTGTAAAAAGCTCAACTTTCAGTTTTTATACTGTGCGTCTAACTGTTTGCATAATGTCCCAGAAATTCAACAGTAGTTGCAAATGTAGAAGTTGGTTGCCTGATATTGTGCAACTCTTTAACCAGTTTGTGTAGTACACGATGTCTTGACGCGTACTCAAATACATCTGCTGATTCGGAGTGTTAAACATTAAAGCTGCAGACAGCTTACAGTTTTTAGATTATGTCATCTTGGCTGTTGAGCTGTGATATGCAAACTGCATTGAAGTCGTTCTGGGGGTCCACTCTAACAACATGGAGCCACGCCAGTGACATTTTAGATATGTTGTAGATTAGTTTGAAGCTGACACAGTGTCTAAGCTCACAACTCAGTGTTACGTTCAAGTCCACAACTGTAAAGTCCTGAAGGGCTTTCAATGTAGCGCTTCACTTTATAAAAGCCCCACCAGTGAAATGGGGAGACCGCAGCTTACATATTGAGGTTTGATGACGATGCAGGTCAAGTGAATAAGGTCGCAGTCACACACTCCTAGAGATCGATCTATGAACATCTGCCAACCACTGCTTGTTAGGGAAAAATGAGTATTTCCCAACCAGTTGCAAGTTGCTGCTGCAGGTTCACCTTCAAATTAAGAGCTGCACCTTTTGGTGGCTCCAGTGCTGATTGCACAACTTTTACTTTGAAGGAGAACCTTCTCATTTTTGTTATGCATTGCACTTTTTCAAGTTCTACTACAGCTGACTTAGTACTTAGTGAATTTTTGCGGGCAAACATGAAAAGCTACAGACAGCCACGGCAATCCGCCAGCAGCCAAAGCAGACGCTAGAGCCAGAAACCTCCAGGAAACACTGCCAACCAGTCGGGGAATACACATTTTTCCATAGCAACATGTGATTATATCGCATCCATTATGACAAACAGCTGTTTGGTTACAAGAGAAATCTCAAAAAACAAATGACAATTTGCAAAACAATTTGCATCTCAGTCACAAATATAGAGTAATATTATAGAAGTATAGTATTAAATTAGCTATTTTTAATAGCTAGCAAGTAAAGGCTAAGACTACCAAAGAGGGTTCAAATAATCCCTTTTGTGACAAGTAAATAAATCAAAGACCAGACTAAATTCTCACAAAGACATCTGTGCAGTAACAATGAAGCATCTTAGCAGCTTTTCATCACCGTGGTTATGTACACCCAGGGCTGAATCCGTGCTATTGGAACTGTGGTCCAACCTAAATGTGACTAAGGCGTGGTGAAATAATCCCAAGCAAAGTCTACAGACAGAATAACATTCGTGTGTGTATAATCTGAGTCTGCTCTTGTCTTTCAGGTCAGTCAGCGTGGATCTGGAGCCCCTCCCTTCCCCGCCTGACACTTCTGCCCCAGCCAATCACAGAGGGAGCTCAGAGCCAGAAAGTCAGAGTCAGCGTGAGTACTGGGATGAGGGGACGTTACCTCGGCGATACATCCTCTGATAATCAGAGTGTTGCTGTGTATTTCAGTTCAAAACTGTTATTTTTTTTATTTCTGAGGTTTTGTTTTATCCTGTTCGTTCACACGTGGGTACCCAGAGATAAAGTAACAACACGAGAGGAAGTGCAAACTTTTAGTTTCTTTCTGTTTTGCTCTCCTTTAGCTCTGCTTTTAGTCTCTACAACAACATACTCCTGTTCGTCCGCTATAAGCGCTCCTCTGTCTTAAACTGGGTGGTCACCGGGTTTCTGGTGTGTTTTTAGAGCTTATTTGCTCTCTTCAGCACCTCAAAGATAAAAACAGACAAGCAGGATGGCTGAACACAGAACCAGTGTTTCACAGTGAACACTGAACCATTACAGTTTACACAGTATTGATTATTTCAGCCAGTTTTGCACATTCGGACAGAAACAAACAAGTTCGCCGTCTTTGTTCATCCCTACAGCTCCTGTCACCTTCACCCTGCCAGAGCAGGTAATCCAGAAGACAGATCACTTCCTGTTCTCCTACCCCTGGTTCCACGGACCCATCTCTCGCGTCAAGGCGGCCCACCTGGTTCAGAGCTCCGGGCCAGAGGGACACGGGGTGTTTCTGGTCCGACAGAGTGAGACACGCAGGGGCGACTACGTCCTCACCTTCAACTACCAGGGAAAAGCAAAGGTACGGATCAGTATGTGGGTACAGTTGTGGTTGCAGTTGAGGATTGTCTTTTGAAACCCAAGTTGTTTTGTTTTTTTCCATCTGGAAACGTGAAAATTGTGCAGACACAGGAAGCATTACACAAGCATAGATAAACAAGTGTGCACACTGAGCACTGTGGTTAGGAAAAGAATTCACTTCAGCCAACGTGAAACGTCTGTTTCCTCATCTTTTTTCCCTCTTTCCTCTCTGCAGCACCTGCGCCTCTCTTTGACAGAATGGGGTCAGTGCAGGGTGCAGCACCTGCGCTTCCCATCTGTTATGGACATGCTCAGTCATTTCAGACTCTTCCCTATCCCACTGGAGTGTGGAGCCGCCGGTGCTGTCACTCTGTCCCGCTTCGTAGTGGCGGGTTCCACCCCGCCTTCACAGGGTGAGACTCGTGGATTTGGACCTCATTCAAATAATAATGTGTACCAACGGTGTTATCGCTGAATTAGTAGTGTGATGCACACACGTTTAAAGGCAGTACACCCGTACTTATACAAATTAAAGGAGCAGCTTCTCCAGTAGTTTGTGGTTGTGCTCCACTGCAGTTTGTAGTACCTCCGCGAATCAGTGCACATCTGAAATTCAGACTGAATAAAGAGGTTTTTAGTTTTTATATAATCAACTTCTACAGCTCATGTTTGCTGATTTATTTCCTCTTGTTTCCCTCAGGTCAGCTCTCAGGCGCTTTCCTCGTCCCGTTCTCCCTCCATCGCTGGAGCTCTGAGCCCAGCTTGGCTCACTGCAGCCTGGCTCGCAGCTCCAGCCAGCCCCCTTCCTCCTGCTCCACCAACACCACGGCCAGCACCAGCTTTTCCACTTCCAGCTCCTTTTCCCAGTCTGGGATCCATTCTTTTACCCGCACCGGCATGGTCCCCGAGCCCACGCTGTCAGCCCCGCCTCCACTCCGTCGGAGCGAGTCGGTAGGAAGGAGGAACCTGCTACGCCACCCCAGCACCCACGCTCCCATCATCCCTCAGCGGGACTCAGACTATGAGCTGGAACCTGACCGCGGTCGCAAGCGGGCAATAGACAACCAGTACATGTTGCTCTGACCCCGCTGAGTCAAACACCTGCAACACCTCTGAACGACAGCAGACACCTGTGAAGCTGACACACTCAGACACACACAAACACACTTGTGTTTGCTTGTCGCTCCCCTCCCACAGGTATATAACCTGATTGCAGCAGACTCATGAACTTGAGTGAAGAAGTCTTTGTCTGATGAATGCATACCACTGTGTATGTGGAAACACACACAAACACTCACTTTGTGCGTGTGTGTGTTTACCAGTGTCAGACCCTCACATCCTCCACCCAGACTGTCCACAGTGAATGTATTTTCGGAGCTTTATAACAGTGCTGATTATTAATGTTGAGGTTCTCTGTGAGAGTGGGAGAGTCAAATGACTATTGACCTAAAGCCCAGGCAGAAAATAGTTTTCTATATTTCTATTCTGGTCATTTTTATAGAGGTGCACTTGTTTTCATTTCTTTGACACTTAACCAGAACTGATGGGAAGGCACTCCCTGCAAAATTGGTTAATTTAAAATATTTAAAAGACATTTACTCTCCACACAAAGTTTCCAGTGTGGAGCAAACTCTCACCTTTCTTTCTTTTTTTGTACACAGACAAAGAGCGCTCATTTTAGAGCATTATTACATTAGATATTCTCCCACTTGTGCTTTATTATGTATTGAAGTATATCTTCAGTGCACTTTGAAAGCAATGTGTATTTTTTCTATGCACAGATACTTTTGTAGAAAAATAATAATGATTTTTTTTTTTTTTTTACAGTCAAAGAGGGGAAACTTTTGTTACATTTTGCTAAAAATGGATTGAGCACCGCTTCCACTCCTTCAAACTTACAGAGAAGAACGGATTCAGAATCAGATTTTCATCACCGCTCTTTAATTTTTACCCTAAATTTTTAAGTTTGAGTTGTGCATCTGGATGTGACCGTTTATGCGAGAATAAAGCAAGTGTGTGGTGTTATGTTGAATTTTGATCACCTAAGGCAGTTATACTCAACTTATGGGTAGGTCAGGGTCACTTTGAGTGTCAGCTGGAATATCTGCCGTTTCAGATTTACTAAATAAAAAGGACAGACGAGGTTCCGGCTCTTTAATTGTACCCAAAGCAGCTGCAGCTACAATCCAGCTGCTGAATGCCTTAAAAGATATTATTTACTTGTAATATAGTCAGGTTTTTTAAAAATAAACTATTTTACAAGAGAGTAAATTATTACTTATAATTATAATCACTTATATAACAACAAAGCACCACAGAAATCATTTCTGCCACAAAATCAGAGAAGCTGGAGTGATAAAGTAACAAGAGAATTTTAATATGTCGCCATCCTGCAGCCGTGAACGGTGGGTTTAGATGGTCTGTGGATATTATTACAAGCACTTTTTAAGAGTTTGAAGTTTCAACTGAATGAACGACAGAAAATTGTACTTCTGCTCTGGTTTATATGCTATAAGATGTGACGTGTAAACGTTTTCCTCCATTGTCACAGGTTTACAGGTCGCAGGCATTTAAGAGCTCATAAAACAACCTTTAACAGCAATAACTCTGAGTGATTGTTTGCTGGATCAGTTTCTCTCACAGTTGAGGAGCAATTTTTATCCCACTCTTCTTTTGTGGCCATTCATTGTGCACACCTCCCATATGGAAAAGATATATATAAATCTTATAAAGGTTGTATCTGTCTTGTGTGAAACTTGTATGAAAAGCATACAAGAGTGAAAACAGATATAAGATCCCTTGAAAAATTATATAATGATAATGATATAATGATACTTACTAAAACAATATATGAAAGAAATAAGAAAGTGGCCACTTTCATGAGTAAATTATATACGTTTTTACTATTTCTTTTCCATATGGGCTCTGTTCAGGACCCACTGCAGTATTTCAGGCTGCTGTGGTTGGGATCGTCGACCTGGTGCACGATCCAGTTTCAGTCAAGCTTTAGCCTTCACACAGTGGCCTTACATTTGTCTCTAGAATACTTTGGTATACAAAGGAGTTCCCGGTCGACTCAGTCAATGCTTGAACGTTGGCGTGACAGCTTTGTGCAGGCGTGCTGTGTTTGGCTTTCACCAAATGTGGCACTGACTGTGGCATCTTTTGATCCACAAGTCTTGTGGTTTGCTCAGATGCTCCTTTGCAAACCTAATCTGTGTGCTGACATGTTCCCTTTAGAGAGAAGAGGTTGTCTCCTTCCAAACAATTCATACTTGTTCTGTCATGGACTTTAACATTAAGAAATGTTAAAGGTGCTATGGAGGTGCTCACACTTGCAGACGATCAGTTAAGTGTGTTTAATTTGCTTCTTACTTTCTTAATTACTATGGAAACAATAAGGGTCTTCTTAGTTTTTCTGCATAGAGTAATGTGTGATTTAAGCGGTCTCTTTATGTTTTTTCAGCAATACCTTCACTGCATTTTACTGATTTTGTGGCATGAAACGATTTACCAAAATAAGACTTGGCACTCCAATGTGAATTTTGCACTTGTATGTCAAAAAAAAACAAAGACATAAACTTGAATGGCTTCACTTCAAAGAGCACAACAGGGGGGGAACTTTATGTGCAGACCAAAACAAAGTAGTTATTGAGTCAAAGTTGGGCATTTAACACAAGTCTGATTGATTTATCCTTCACGTTGTCTGGAGTCTCAACCTTTTTCCAATCAGTTTTGCATCGGGCTGTTAATCCAGCATTAAACCCTTAATGCTCCGGAAAAACTGAGGTGGCACAGTTAATATTAACATGTGCTTTCCTGATTTGGGGGAAGAGCGTCATGTTCTTATCTGTATTTTTTACACTCACAGCATTAATTTTTTTTTTTTCGTATTTTCTGTGTAACTTCACCACAGCAGCTAAAAACCAAGGAATGGCTGTGAAGTTAATGTCTTTTTTTTTACACTATATGTTATTTGTAATAGAATTTGTATGTTTATATCATAGAAGAAGTTTGGTTTCAATCAGCAAAGCTTTGAAAGTGTCACGAGATGTTAGACACCAGTGATCGGACGCTGTTCCTCTGTCCTCCAGCTTCATGTTTTTGTGCACTTAAACTGGATTTAATCGATAACATAAGGTGCCTTGTGAGTTTGTCATCATAGCTTTTGTAAGGTTTATCCCACCAGTTGAAAGTGCACTGACTATGCCAGGTGTCAACTCAGGTGTAAATTTTATTGCTGTGAGCTGACTCTAAAAAAAAATCTCATTCCACCACATTGAGTTTCTTCAAAGGGCATCTAAAGAGCTGATTTTTACCCCAGACTTTATGGTGTTCTCGTTTTTCACACGCCAAACATGAGATGTCATGTTTTCTGTAATTTTTACTTTATTTTTATTTTAATAATTGAAGCTTCAGTGCCACTAGCAGCAGGATTTCTTGGGGAATGGTGTTGTAGGACTTGTCTGTCTTCTAACCTTGCTTTAACACTAACTTTAGCAGATGATTTTAGGTTTACTTGCAGTAAATCTGTGCTTAATATATGGTTTAGATATGATTCTGTTTGTCTCGCTGTCCTCTTAATTATTGCAGTTTGCTGGAGAGGTTTCTTTCCTTTTTTTTAAATAAGAGAAAAAGAAAAATGCAACTTGACTCCCTCCTTGTCACGATCAGAGCGAGATCGTCGTCATTACTCCTCTAATAACAAGTCAGCTTTGTCTACCAAAGGAATATTTGTTACAATGGTTGTGTAGTTCTCTTTAATGTAATCATCATGATAAAGACTGACATCTTTCAAGGGGAACAAAAACAAGAATGTTTTTGGCAAAAGTACGGTTGGTCTTCCTAACTTTTATGTTGCTCAAAGTCAAAACAAATCACCTTCTCCATCAACACCTCTGTTTCTCTTCTGCTAAACGAAAGCAACGGTAACAGTAACTATTTTAAAAAAATATACCAGTCCCCTCTCTTTGCTGATTTCCCTTTAAGGGAGAATGACTGTGCCTTTTGCCAGAAAGCTGCTGTTGCTTTTCCCCTTTTTAATTGTTGTTGTTGTTGTTGTTTTTCCTCTCCAGAGCTCAGGGTGTGATTGTGTAGTGCAATATCTGAGAGATGCCCCGTGCTTCACACCTTCATGTTTGTAGCTAGGGAGCGATCAGAAGCTTGGATGGATGGCTTTCGGTGTTTTCACCTGGTCATAGATTGAAGTAAAAAATAGCCAATGACTGCCCAAGATCCTGGGAAAACATGCTATGTTAGAAAAAATAAACAGGGCTACCGCATATTTCTGTTGCTTCATGGCTGATATTTGCAGGAATCGAGATAATGCAAGAGAAAATCCCCATGTACCTCAGGGGTCTTTTAATCTTTAACATCTACTCCAGAAATGCCCCCACTCACCCCCCCAAATCCATGTTTTATTTTTTTAATGTCCAGTAGATGAATGTCATGTGTTCTCAATACTGTTCATCCCGTTTTGTTGTTTTGTTTTTTTAACTCAGCACTGTAAACATTCCAGTTTAACCCATCATCCCTTCTACAGTCAACGAAAACCACCTTTGAAAATCTGTCATTGTGTTTGCATCCCTTTCAGCATCTAAATTATATTAAATATATATCAACTGTATATTTGACCCATTTTTTAAAATAAACCCAACCAAAAAAAACAAAATGGTGTGGTTAGTTTGTGTATCTGATGTTTGTCTTTGTTCATCACAAAGAACAAAGTTGGCAAATGCGACATGGTGGCATTTCTGTTTTACAGCTGTAAGATACAGAGATTACAGTGACTACACTCACCTGACACTTTGTTGGGTACATCTGTTCACATGGCAACAACCAAGTGCATTTAGACATGGTCAAGATGACCTGTTCAAACGCCAAATGAAAATCAAAAGAAAGGTGATTCTTAGTGCAGCAGATAACTTAAGATTACAAGGAAATGGTTCACAGATGGATGCCCAAAGTTGGTACATACATTCTTTTATAATCACTTTCTTGATAAAACTCAAGATGGTAGTCATTTTCATGATGGTTGTTGACAAAGGCAAAAAAGTATATTTTGTTAGATAAGTAGATCTGAGTTTTCTGTGATCTACTTTAGCCCAGTAATTTATAAAACACTTTTTGGTAGCTCCGACCTTGCACTGTAAACTCCACCCCCTGAGATTTTTTCAGTGTTTTTGGACACATGCAAACCCACATGGATACATTATGGGTTATTCACAATAAACAGGATTTAAAATTTTTTTTTTTTTTTTTACATTAAACAAAGAAAAACCCAATATTATAAAAAAGCAGTTTAACACTTGCACTTATGTATTTTCCTTGCTCAAAATCAAATCCAGTCATTTTATTGCTAAGATTGCACTCAAAGACTGAAATGGACAACTTTTTCCATTTACTATTCAATGCACAGTACAGTGGAAAACTCTTGAGTCATCACTCATTTGATTCACTTATTTACTTGAATCAATGAAAAATAGTAATGAAAATGCAGTTCGACACCCATTTTCAAAGCAAATACAAATGAGGGGTGGCTCAGGACTTTTGCACAGTACTGTACCCTACTACTGGAATGCCATGTAAAGACCTGAAGCTTTGTAAATCTAACGTCCACTTGCCATGCAGGGTCATCAACATGGCCCAAAAAATCATTGGACATCCTCTTCCCTCCCTGAAGGACCTGTACAGCACTCGCTGTCTCAAGAGGGCACGCAGCATCCTACGGGACTGCACACACCCAGGACACCGGGTGTTTAAGCTGCTGCCGTCTGGCAGGAGGTTCAGGCTGCTGAGGTCCCGAACAAATAGACTCAAGGACAGCTTTTACAACAGGGCAATAGCCCTGATCAATGTAAATAGCTCACCTGACTGGATACCTCCCTGGACTTTTTAGGGGGGGGGGTAACAATGTTTAAAACGATAACAATAATATTTATATTTATAACAAGGTGCAATAATAATTAATGTGCAATAATAACAGTGTGCAATACACACACACTTATTCTTTTTTATACTAAGTTAATATACTGTGTTGTGTTGTTTGTTGCGTTGTGATGTGTCATATCGTGACGTGTTGTGTTATATGTAGTGCCGACGTAGGACAGTTTTTCCAATTTCATTGTACTACTGTACTATGTATGACTGTGCAATGACAATAAAGAGTTATCTTATCTTATCTTATCAGCGTTCTTGAGACTGAATAAATACAGTTAGCGTTCAGAGATACAGTGGCTTGCAAAAGTATTCGGCCCCCTTGAATTTTGTCACATTACAGCCACAAACATGAATCAATCTTATTGGAATTCCACATGAAAGGCCAATACAAAGTGGTGTACACGTGAGAAGTGGAACAAAAATCATGTATGATTCCAAACATTTTTTACACATAAATAACTGCAAAGTGGGGTGTGTGTAATTATTCAGCCCCCAGCCCCCTGAGTCAATACTTTGACCTTTTGCTGCAATTACAGCTGCCAGTCTTTTAGGGTATGACTCTACCAGCTTTGCACATCTAGAGACTGAAATTCTTGCCCATTCTTCTTTGCAAAACAGCTCCAGCTCAGTCAGATTAGATGGACAGTGTTTGTGAACAGCAGTTTTCAGATCTTGTCACAGATTCTCGATTGGATTTCGATCTGGACTTTGACGGGGCCATTCTAACACATGGATATGTTTTGTTTTAAACCACTCCATTGTTGCCCTGGCTTTACGTTTAGGGTCGTTGTCCTGCTGGAAGGTGAACCTCCGCTCCAGTCTCAAGTCTTTTGCAGACTCCAAGAGGTTTTCTTCCAAGATTGTCCTGTATTTGGCTCCATCCATCTTCCCATCAACTCTGACCAGCTTCCCTGTCCCTGCTGAAGAGAAGCACCCCCACAGCATGATGCTGCCACCACCATATTTGACAGTGGGGATGGTGTGTTCAGAGTGATGTGCAGTGTTAGTTTTCCGCCACACATAGCGTTTTGCATTTTGGCCTAAAAGTTCCATTTTGGTCTCATCTGACCAGAGCACCTTCTTCCACATGTTTGCTGTGTCCCCCACATGGCTTGTGGCAAACTGGACTTATGGTTTTCTGTTAACAATGGCTTTCTTCTTGCCACTCTTCCATAAAGGCCAACTTTGTGCAGTGCATGACTAACAGCTGTCCCCCCACCTGAGCTGTAGATCTCTGCGGCTCGTCCAGAGTCACCATGGGCCTCTTGGCTGCATTTCTGATCAGCGCCCTCCTTGTTCGGCCTGTGAGTTTAGGTGGACGGCCTTGCCTCGGTAGGTTTACAGTTGTGCCATACTGGACTTCATGGTGTTGTTTCTCCCAATATTCTCTTAAGACAACCTCTGAGGCCGTCACAGAGCAGCTGTATTTATACTGACATTAGATTACACACAGGTGCACTCTATTTAGTCATTAGCACTCATCAGGCAATGTCTATGGACAACTGACTGCACTCAGACCAAAGGGGGCTGAATAATTACGCACACCGCACTTTGCAGTAAAAAAAAGAAAAAAAGAAAAAAGTTTGGAATCATGTATGATTTTGTTCCACTTCTCACGTGTACACCACTTTGTATCGGTCTTTCACGTGGAATTCCAATAAAATTGATTCATGTTTGTGGCTGTAATGTGACAAAATGTGGGAAAGTTCAAGGGGCCGAATACTTTTGCAAGCCACTGTAAAAAGCTAGAACACAAGAGTGCACGTTCACAGTAACGACACACCAACAGTACAAGCAAACCACAAGAAGCAGTTCAGTTTTTAAAACTTTTTTATTGTTTTTAAATTTTTTTGCTCATTTTTTAAATTATTTATATTATCTACAAAGTAAAAGTTTTAACTTAAAAGTTACATAAGGGTCGGGTGAGAAGTGGGATCTGATCACCTCAGCCGTTATAATTTCATAAATAACACTTTCTCCTGTCCTCTCGGCTGCCAACATGAGTTTATTTCACAGAAAGTTTCTCGTCATGTTTCGTTTTTAGTTTGGTTAGAAACGTGTCGTGTAGTCTGGAAATAAATGCAGCACATAGCAGCAGCAATAAACAGTAGGATTAATACTGTCTAAAGGTTGGAAGATTCTTTTCATAACAAGGTGCGGACAAAAATTACGAGTTCCAGTTGAATTTTCTTCTTCACACTCGCTGATTGTTTACTCTCTTTCACTTCTTACTTGGCAAGCTGACTTAAGTTGCAATTTGGGACCCCTGAAAGTGTGTGTAGATGTAGGTATAACTATCTGTGTTTGCAGATCTGTATGTGTATGCGTGTGTGCTTGTGTGTGGGGGGCCTGAATAGGAGCAGTCTTGTCTGTTAAAACTCTAGCTCGTTAAAACATGTCACTGCATCAACCTGTTAACATTCTCTTATTGCCTGGTCAGGGAGGGAGGGAGGAGGGAGGGAAGAGAAAAGCTGATGTGAAGCATGTCTGGTGAGGATGAGGGAAGAGAGGAGAGGGTGGGCTCTCTCATCCTCTTCATCGCCTGGTTATGAAGGCTCTGGTTGAGAAGCGCGGCACAGAGCGGGTCCCTCAGCTCGCTGACGCATCTACAGCTGCTGCTGATGATGAGGTTGCACTGCAGGGATGACAGAAAGTTTCTTTGTAACACGTTAGACAGCTTTACAAAACACAAACTATTGTTTTAATTACACTCAAATAACAAACCAGTAATTCTCGTCCAATCATCTAAATCTGCATCTAAAGATGGAGTTTTCCCTGGTTTAACCTGAGGAGAATTAAATATCTGATAAAAAATAAATAAGTGTGTTTCTTCTGAAATTACCATTACTCAAAATCTCACCCTGATCATGTGTCCCAAGCTGAATCTTTTTAAAGACCTATCTTTAAATAACTGATGGTTCTGCAAAGCCCACAGTATGACTCGACCATCTGCATGGCTCTTATTGTGTGTATCGAATAGAGGACAGATGTTTTCCTTACAAAACACAATCTGAAAGTCACCAGTTCACCTTCGACCAGTGTTTAAATGCAGTTAGCTCAGAGCTGGTTAGTTATTAGCCCCTCAGTGGATGCACCTTTACCACCTTTACATCTTTCAGCCTTTTATGACTCAGGGGTGAAATGTGTTTCTTGTACTGACTGGACACTTGTTACTTTGTCCCAAAGAATATGACAATATGTTAAAATCTTCTGACCAGTGACTGCTGACCTATGTGTCAGCAGTGTCCACGCACATATTTGCCTTCTGGGAATAATACAAAAATCACCTCTTTATGGTCATTTTTAACGGAATCAGATGAAAGGTGTAACATGTGCACAACTTTTATTTATTGCTTTATTTCCCAGGGGATAAATTCTCATCTGAATCAATTCCTACACAGGACAAATTTTACACGCCAAGTTTATGATTTGGGTCGAATACAGCAGCTGCCACTTCTTTCAAAGCTACCTTTTCTTGGCCTCTGTGTTCGCGGGAGTCGCCACACAGAAATCTTACTTCCTATTAAAATTCATTATTTTGAGCTGACTGTAACAAAAAAAACAATTTGTGTCCATGAACATGACCGACTACATTGCTGTTCTCTATGGCACCGACACTTGGGTGTCCACGCCTCCCCTGCCTGCACAGGGAGTGACGACAGAACCTCATCAGACTTTCATGGCTGAGGGATAATAACTGTCCAAAGAATTAAAAAAAATAAAATTATGTGTGATTGCCCCAGCTAACTGCCATTATATCTAGTAATGACACTCACCCCCCATGCAAAAAGAATTGAAGTCTAAATATTTCAACCATTGCCATGAAGAGTACTCACTTATTGCCTCAGTTTGCACAAAGGTGTAAAGAGGAGCTAGTAATGTAAAAGAACATTAGAGAAGGAAAACAACACAGTCTCTTTATAGAGGAAGGAAAATAATAAAAATACCTTGTGGATGTGCCAGGTAGGAGAAATGTGTGGTTGAGGAAACAGGGATGGGGTTAAGGGCAGTCTGGGGCATAGGTGGCTGTGGACCAGCTGGAGGACCCTGGGTAGCCATGAGCATCATTGGGGGATGGGTGGGTGCCGGGTGGTGGGATTGCACAATACCAGACTGCATATGGGCCTGGGAGCGAGAGAAAGAGCACAAGTGTGAGTGAGTGCGCCAGAGTGAGAACAAAAGTGTGACAGTGAGAGATCAACAGAAGGACAAAAGCCAGACTGGGTAAAACGATGAATCAGATGAGTTTCAGTGACACAGCGTTTCACGGCTCCGCCTGTCTGTTACCGACAGGAGCAGCAGCTCTGAACAGACACCGCATGATTCTGAATGTTTTTTTCCTGTCTTCTTCAGCAGCCTGTTTACATAAAGGTGGGGCTCAGAGACAAACGCACATACAGCATGTGACTTCAGCTAAGACAATAACACGAGGTTACAGTTTACTTTTCAAGTTTGACTTGGAAACGGCAACGTTTGTTTTCCATGTGCACTGAAAACTTCCTGTAAAATGAAACGGTGCGAGTACTTTAACACCTGTAGAACAAACAGAAAATAAAAGAGCACTTTCACTGTGGTCGACCCTTCACACATAAAAGTCTCCTTAACGTACAAGGAAGGAAGAGCCAGGATAACAGAGGACAGGACAATAGCACAATGATTACCTTGAAAGTCATGCCCAGACAAAATCTGAAACGGATCCACCACTAGAAGAAAAAGTTTAGCTTCCTTTAGCCAAACACAAGGTTTATAATATCTCTACTGTACTGAGACAGGGGTATGAAATCCTGCCAATCACAATCCTAGGGCTTTGGAAAGCTGCTCCACTCGAGTAGCATCATACAATTTACAGTTAAAAATATCCATATCTCATATTTGGGCCTTGGTGGAGGCCCTCAGTAGAGACAGATTGATGTATCTCAATGGCAATATTAGCTAATTGGCAGTCTATTGGTATCTGTATTTATAATGGTCAATAGATGAAGTAAAGTTGATGTGTGAAACACTCTTCAGCCAGACAGATTGCAGAGTGGCCTCTGGTGTACAATTCTGAGCAGAGCACAAACAGGTAAATAACTACACATAATGTAACAATGCT